ACTGTATATATCCTGTCTACCAGAAATAATTTGCTTATGGTAGGAAATATGCATTGGAAATAAAATTAGTCACCCACAAACCAGCCAATGAAATAGTTTTCAAAATGATGGCCCAATTGACTTAATAACAGGACAGTTCTCTATACTGGATAGCATTTTATAGGTTTTCAATAAAATTATAAGCTTGGAGGATTTCTCATATTTTCTAATGAATCAGTTAGGGATTCAGATGTGATTCCTTTGGCTACACTATAATGGCAGCTTTGCAGGCCAAACACAGTTATGCCACAATAATCAAGCCTTCCATGACTCCATAATCATGTCAATAGACTGTGATAAGAGCCTCCCTTTGAGCAGTATAGGTCTCAATATCATCAGCTGTGTAAATGAGAATAATCCGCTAATGTGCTGGGGCTAAGCTGTTGCTTGGCATTGAGCCAATGAGAGGAGGTGGATTCTGCATTTGCACTTCCCCCTCTGTGTCTTATAAGCCACTGTCCCTTTAACCGCAGGTTGTCCACAGAAACAAAAACTCTCCTCCCAGGAGATTACGGTCCTCCCACCTGCACACCAGAGACTCGGAACAGCATCGACATAGATCCCACCAAAAGAACAGAAGGAACGAACTGATCCTCTGGTGGATGCGGACAAGACTTCACAAGGACCTGAAGACATCTCTGGACCAGTGAAAGCATTTTTGGTAAGGTTAATGTCTGTGGTAGTGTGGGAGTAATGCCAGTAATGAGAAGTTTGAAAACAGTATTTAAGTCTATAGCCCAGCACTAGGAAAAGGGGCACATTGTCTTGTCGTAACTGAGTAACTGCAGTCCCAACCCCAGGTAACTGTGACTGTGACTGGAAAGTAGATTGTTCCTGTAAATTTATGAAGGTTGGTAGAAATGTAGCAAAAAATCTTGGCGAGCATTTCCTCACATTGGCTGCAGAGACAATGATGACGACAGGGCTGGATGAACTGCCTTTGACAAATTACACTATCAGCGCAAGAGTTTCCTTTGGCATAAAATAAATGGTGACATTTCTAGACATACTTTGTTAAGCACAGCTACATAAAAATATCTACAAAGATAATGTTTTGATAAAATAATAGGTGATCCTTAGATGTGATCCTGGGGACTTAATAAACCTAAAGAATCCTAAAACAGGAAATGGCTTCATTCAGAATAAAATGGCGGCCCTTCAGAGCCTGGGGTCTCCTAGAGGTTTTACCCGAATCAAAGAAGTCCAAAAAGACAGGTAAAAAGGAATCCTACTGCTAAATAATTTTTTTTTAATTTAACTGAAAAAAATTCCTTCTGAAATCTTAATTTGCATTGCATCGTGAATCAATCATGTTTTTATATGCATCATTGTTTTCACTCTGTGCGCCTGACATACAAGAAGCTGAAATGCATATTCACATCAGTTCTATTTATATTTAGCTTCAGGTACGTTGGTGTGTGCATTTGATGACTGATGCAGATTTTAAAGATTTGTCCATTGAGGTATGGGAAATAAGTGTAATTTATATGACAAATCATTTTTTTCAATTTGTATTTTTTTAAAGATTTATTTATTTTTTATTGGAAAGTCAGATATACAGAGAGGAAGAGAGACAGAGAGAGAGATCTTCCATCCCATGATTCACTCCCCAAGTGCCTGCAACGGCCGGTGCTGCGCCGATCTGAAGCCAGGATCCAGGATCCTCTTTCTGGTCTCCCATGCGGGTGCAGGGTCCCAAGGCTTTGGGCTGTGCTCTACTGCTTTCCCAGGCCACAAGTAGGGAGCTGAATGGGAAGTGGGGCTGCCGGGACTAAGACCAGTGCCCATATGGGATCCTGGGCGAGCAAGGCGAGGATTTTAACCACTACACTATCGCACTGGGCCCCATTTTTCTTTGATTTGGAGGAAGAGATTTGTACTAAGAACCATCCACTGTATTCTCTAAACTACCTCCTTAGGAAGCAGGAGCCCTGTGTTTTGGAAGTCTTTATAGTTTACCATTAATCTGAAACCAACAAAGCTCAAAATGATGAAGTGCAGGCTGCGATGCTTCAGAATGGTGGATGTGGAGGTCAGTCCCAAGAGCAGGGAGCACAGTGACCAAGGTTTAAAAGATGACGAAATGGGGTTGGCAGGTTGGTGTATCAGCTACTCTTCTGCCTGTAGCACAGACATCCCTTATGGAACAAGCACAGTGCTTACTCCTGTCCCAGAACACCTACACAGGAGATGCAAAAGGCACTCCTGGCTGTTGGCTTTGGATCAGTTCAGTTCCAGTCATTGCAGCCATTTGAGTAGTAAACAGATGGATGAAAGATTTTTTTTCTCTTTCTCTAGGGAAATCTTCCTTCCAAACAAAAACAAATACATTTTCTTTCTTTTTTTTTTTTTCAGAAATGGGCAGAAATGAGAAAATATTAGTGGTCCCAGTCCATAGTTAATACAGATGTAACATTTATAATATAATCCATATTTATATATTTTAAAAATCCTAGTTTTTTTATTCAAGCAGCTAAAGACTATCACACCCCTTTTAATATTTTTTTCAGTTTTCTTTTTTAACATTATTCACATTGCTGAGAGGGATGAATGCCCAAGTGGACCTCCAGTTAGACTGGAGAGGGTTGGGTACGTGGGAATGTGGGTTGGACAAATGTTTCCATTTTTAACCCTCCTGCATCTACAGAGGAGGAAGGGGGAGAGTGCTGGGGTTTTTTGCTGTCAAGATACATTAGCATCCTGCAATAGGAGGCAGTCATTTGATGACACCTCAGAGGTGGGGAAGTCTTTGGAGGGTGTTACTTGAGTGGTTTTGATAGTTCTAAGAAGTTGTGGGTTTTTATCGCTCTAGGGTTGAGAAAATCTTTCCAAACTCTATTGGTTGACAAAGTTCACCTTAGTGCATTCACAGTCCCAAGAACACGCTACTAGCTTGGCCAGGAGAACTGTCCAACCTGTTCTGCTTTCAATCCTCTGATGAGGCAGCTGATGTCCTTTGTTAGCCTAGATGAGCTGCCCACCTGTGTGTCCTGCGTGTGCAAATGGGCATGCTGTCCATTGCACAGGTACCAGCAACTGAGGAGGATCCCATATATGCACTCCAAGTTCACACCACATATCCTGTTATTCTCTGGAGTGCTCAGGATCTGAGTCCAGTGGTTTAGTTGGGGAGTCCCCAAAAAATGTCTCTTGGGGTGACATTAGACTTGACTTTTTTTTAAATTTAAGACTTACTTATTTTTATTGAAAAGGTAGATTTAGAGAGAAGGAGAGACTGAGAGAAACATCTTCCATTGACTGTTTGACTCCCCAAATAGCCACAACAGCAAGAACTGAACTGGTCTGAAGCCATGAGCCAGGAGCTTCTTCCTTGTCCCCCATATGGGTCCAGGGTTCCAAGGCTTTGGGCCATCCTCTAAAGTTTTCCCAGGCCACAAGCAGGAAGCTGGAAGGAAAGTGAAGCAGTTTGGACATGAATTGGCACCCATATGGGATCCTGGTGCATGCAAGAGAAGGATTTAGCCACTGAACCATCATGCTGGGCCTCGTGCTGACTCTTGTGTGCATTCCAGCCAGTCAAGGTCAGTTTTGGTGTGTCAGCTGCACAAGTCAATGCACATAATGGTGGATGCAGTTGCTTGGTCAGTTCAGTTCCAGCCCTGTATCTCACACAAATTGATGGGTACTATGGCCCAGTCCAGCCAACTCACCATGTACCTAGTCCTACTCATACCAGCAGGGTGCCACAACCTACTTGGGGCACCAGTAACCCTATAAGCCCCAAGTTTTCATGTGTGCCAGCATATTCTGCAGCCTAGCCCAGCCTAGCCTGAATCCCATTCAGCTCTTATGCATGGCCATGTGTATTGTGCTCAATTTGACCTGTCCCTAGATCCTGCTCACACATATCCTAAAAGGAACGACCACCTGTCCAGCCTGGCCACCTCTAGCCTTGGTTCTCAGAAGCCTAGCAGGGGAGTGTTCAGAATTTCCTTGCCAGACATGCTCCCAGTCCCAGATCTTGCACCTGTCAGGGAGTACTGTGGTCCAGCCTGCCATGACTAGCATTTTCCAGCTGGTGCTGTGGCCTAATCCAGCTGATCTTCATCCATTCTTTTTCTCTCTCACACCAGCACATACTCAGATTTGAGGTTTAATTTTCATACCCAGCATTTATTGAGTCCTGACCACATTGTATTGTGGCAGTGTTGAGGTATTCACTCAAACCCTACAACTAGTTGATGAAGAAGGTATTATCATTTTCACTGAGCACATGAAAGTGAGATTTGGAAGGATTAGGTAACTTGTGGAAGGTCAGTCAGTGTGAGGGCAAGTATCTATGTGAATGTATGTATACAGTGTATATTTTAGAAGGCAATTTTGGCAAAATCATTTGTATTGCCCATTTTGCTTTTCCCCCAAATTTTTCTCTGTCTGCTTTGATGAAACAGAGCTTAAATACCAACAGCATTATCAGAAATAACTCATTCTGGACTACAGTATATTGCATTTATACCAAATGCACCTCTCACTTGTTCACATGTCTCTTGCAGCAGTGAGGATGGCTCAGTAACAACCATGGAGGGATGAAGCAGTCTGCATCCTTTCTTTATTACCATGCTGCAGACCGAGGCACAGAGGAGTTGGCAGATCCAGTTAGAACAGGGTATAAAGCAGACAGGAGACCTTGAATGCCAACCCAGGGAGCAAACAGCCTATGGATCTATTGTTTGGTTGGGGTGGAGGTAGGACAGTAGGAACAACAGACAGGAGGTTGGCATCTCTACCTCAGTATTGTTTTTAAGACTAACCTGGCTATGTAGGTGTTAAGTGGTAGAGTCTGGGACAGATGCCCATTAGTGGCAAACAACAATAGCTTTTGGGTATTGTTTGGGTGCTCCTCAATTTGCCAGGAGCATCCAGCCACAAATCTACTTTCCACTGTCTCTCCCCACAGGCGGTGGTACTTGCACGTCATCTTTGCTGACAGTGTGCTCTAGGAAGCATGAGGCCTTGGCTGGTGTTTAGATTTGTCCGGCTCACAAAGCCATCTGGTCGGCACTTTCACAGAGATCACCAGCGTTGGGCAGCTCTGACACTTGCTGACTTCGAAGCCATAAATCGCTGCGAGAGGTCATTGCCTGAAAACTTTAACTTTGCTGGGGATGTGCTGGATCAATGGGCCCAAAAGGAGAAGGTACCAATGATGGAGGTCCACTGGGTGCCTGGTCTCTACCTATCTCTCAGTCTTTCACTTTACTGCTCTCTGGCCTGCTTGTCAATCTGAACACAACGCTTTCTTTCATGTCACTTGGTTTTCTTAGTATCCCACTTGGCCTCCTCTTTCCACATAGATCTGATATTCTCAGCTTTACACAACTGACTTGCTCTGGGGTTTCCTCACCTTCCTCACATTATGGTTACTCAGAATTGTGTCTCATCCTTGTTTTTCTCTTTTTATTTTATCCTTCTTTGTGGTTAAGGTGCTCTGGTCTTCTAAACATAGTCATTGTTGAAGCAATTAGGAGAAATATGGATGTGGAGGAGAATAAAACAAGTAGGCCTTACAGAACATGTGCAGGAAAGGTCCCTGCTCAGGGACCTCACTCCACGCCACAGCTTATCTGTCAGTGCTCACAAAAACGCATTATAGGAACTGTGGTGTAAAGGGAACTGGCTATGCAAGGTATTAAATAATGTCCAATCCCTTCTTGAAATTAGAGGGGAAAAATCTTTCTTAAGATACTGTTTGTTTTGTATCTATACTTGCTAAGTTCCTTTGAATAGGGAGAAGGTAAGGTAGATCATCTCTAGATAAAATTGAAGGCCATCGTTTTCTTTCCAATTCATTTATTTTTCAGTAATGTATTTTGTAGCAAGTGGAATCGACTTTCCAATGATGGTGGTAACTACAACTTCCTCTAATTTTTTTAAAATTATTTTCATTTTTATTTGAAAGGTAGAAGACAAGGAGAGGGAAATTTTTCAACTAACCAGTTCATTCTTCAAATGTCTGCAACAGCCAGAGCTGGGCCAGGTAGAAGCTGTGAAGGCAATTCAATCTGGATCGTCCATGTGGATGGCAGAGTCCCAGTTGCTTGAACCATTACTGGTACCTCCCAGGGTGCACATCAGTAGAAAGCCGGAATAGGGAGCCAAGCCAGGACGCTAATAAAGGGTCTCTGATACTGGATGCAAGTATCTCAAGCAGAGACTTACCTGCTACACCAAACACATACTCCAGTTTTCCTCTCAGGCAAACACACACAAACAAAAGTGAATGAATACAAAGAAACACCACAAAATAAATAATAATAACACAGGTGCAGACAGATCTGGCAGAACTGCCATTTCTCAAATGACTAACGATTGAGAAATACGGGGCTATATTATTTCATCAAATCCCTACACCTGGGAGGTTTGTAGATAAGAATCAACCTCATAAAAATTAACCTAACTATCCAAGGTCATACAGCTCTGAAAGAACAAGAACCCAACCTCTGATCTTATAAAGCTTACTTTCATAGGGTGGGGACACATCTGTAAAATCATATAGTATACTGGGGTCACCTGGAGTATTAGTACAATATTGAAGGAACCCAGAGAGGTAGGGACCTGTGGGAAAAGAGGCTAAGAAAGGCTGATAGTTGTAAGCTAAAATTTAAACTGGGGTTTGAAATATTTTCTAATCAGAGAACATTAAAGAAACAGTCTAGATAATGTGAAGAAAAGGTACTATATAAAGCTAGGAAGTTTTGGAGCACAGATTCACTTCATACAATGACAGGTAAATCAATCAAGGAAGGCAAACAAGAAGTCGATGCCAGGCCCAGTATGATGGCTCATGACTGAATCCTCGCCTTGCACGTACAGGTTTGAGTCCCGGTTCCACTTCCCATCCAGCTCCCTGCTTGTGGCCTGGGAAAGCAGTCAAGAACGGCCCAAAACCTTGGGGCCCTGCACCCGTGTGGGATACCCAGAAGAAGTTCCTGGATCCTGGCTTTGGTTGGCTTAGCTCTGGCCCATGCAGCCATTTGGAGAATGAACCAGCAGATGGAAGATCTTCTTCTCTGTCTATCCTCTCCACAAAGCTGACATGTGTTTCTGATAAAATGAAATAAAATCTTTTTAAAAAATTGTTAATGCCAACCCCTCCACCATGCTCCTTGAGATCTTGTTACAATTAGTACATCCACTAAGGCTATTTGGTTGGAACAGATATAATTTAAACAAGAAAAACATTTATTCATCAGAGAAATAGGAGTCAGCTTGTGAAAGTGGATTGGTAGCTTGAGAGTCAGTCTCGGAGAGGGCCTCAGCCAGGATAATTTCGTGGGGATTCAAAATCACTAGCCATTTGCTATCTTTGGTTCTGCTCAGAAAACTCAAAGACCAGGGACAGATCCAGCTGTGGCTATATGTCCACTCACTGGTCAAAGCAGAGCAAGCATCCTGATGAGTTGTCCCACCAACACTGAGCTCAGTTGAAAGGAACCATTCCTTCAAAGCCAAATAGGGGTTCTGTTAGAAGAGTGTGCAAGAACAGGAGAGAAATGTCAGATGCCCATCTCTCTTGTAACCATTTAAGCCTTTGCTTCTCTTCCACACGCCTCCTGGTTAGACACAGGAGAGACCAGCTAACCCAGCCCTTTGGTGGGTGAATGGCAGAGGAGATGAAGTGAAATGGAGCTTCAGGGAACTGGGCACCTTGTCCCGGAAGGCTGCCAATGTCCTCACCAAGCCCTGCGGCCTGCAGAGAGGAGACCGTGTGGCTGTGATACTGCCCCGAATCCCAGAGTGGTGGCTTGTAAATGTGGCTTGCATGCGAACAGGTCAGTGCCAGTATTGACTATTTCTAAATCATGCCGAAACCAAGACAGTCCGAAGCATTTTCTGAAATGTTAGCCACGAGTAAACCTGTCCTTACAATGGACAGAAAGAGAGTTGACACTCAGAACAGTCAGAATGTAATAATAAATACCATAAGAGGTGGTTAAAAGTTTAGTTGGATTTTGTTTTTCAGGAGATAAAACCAAAGGTCAGAAACTTTAAGAAGTGTGCCAAAAATCACACATGTAGAAAGCTACGTAATTAAGATCTAAACACAAAGCTCTAAGAAAGCAAAAGGGAATCCAGCTGCCTCCTTGCACTTCTGGATCAAGACACATTCAGCAAAATGACCCAGAATGTACTTCTCTGAATGTACTTGTGTTTGGATTTTCTCTGACATGAAATTACAAAAAGAACAATCAGAGTGCTAACAATGTTAGAACAGAGTTGCAAGCCTCATGTGGAAAAGATCTCTGCCTCTTTCCAATGAAAAAGATGAATGTTATTTGATGACACATCCTTTTTCCTCAAAGTAGCCATTTAAGATGTACTTCCGATGAGAACGCTCATGTGATTGTTTCCCCTTGAAAGACAGTGACCAGCACACCAAGGCCTTCAGGTTGACCACTGAAGCTCAAAGGAATACAGTTCCAACTAATTTATACATTCTTGCGGCTTCTTTGGTTTTGTAACAGCAGAATAACTGAGGCAGAGGTCCTGTGGCCTGCAGCCTAAAACACGTATTGTCTGGACTTTTACTTAAAAATCTTGGCCAATCCCTGCTCTAACAGATGACATAAATGTTTATGCATCAAGCAAAAAGAAATAAAAATATCAAGGGATAGATGATTATAAAGATGTTTCTTAAAATATAATGAAAAATCAGAAACAAATAGAATGACTAAACATATCATAAGGTAGCTGAGAATAAAGTTCAGCTGAGATATGCTTATTGCTGAATGAAACTGTGGTACCTCAATTTGATGAGACAGTGCTGAATGGATAATTTATAATATGGATAATTTATAATATTTATAATAATTTATATAATATTATTCATATAATTGGGATTTAAATGATATGAAAATGATCTTACTGCCAATATTAAATAAAATTAGCAAAATATAAAGTTATTTCTTTGTTCACTCTAAAAGAGATTAAAAGTGTGAAATCAATTGTGGGTGGGGAGATCAATGTATTCAATATCGTTTATGAAGAGTTATGAGCTACAAAGCAGCATTGAAGTGTTACATAATACTGATCAAACAATACTTTAAAAAGTGACATAATAACAGCTCACCATTATAATATGCATAAAATGTAAAACACTGCTAGTTTCTCCACTTTACAAATAAGGGGAAAAAAATCTCAGAGTAATGAAGGTCACAATGCGAGGAAGTTGAGGCAAGGGATTAGGCTCACAGTCTGTCAGACTCCAAAGCCAGTACTCCAAGGATCTCCTAGTGATCAGAGGCCGTGGGACATCACTCTGGATAAACACGAGGTAGCTGATGGTTGGACTCTGATGCTTGTCCCCACCCAGACAAGTTTCTCACAGTCTACAGATTCTTATCCCATGGGCAAAAGTTCTGTTCATCTCAGGACCCTTTGTCTTTCCTAGGGCTTGTCTTTATGCCGGGAACAATACAGCTGACAGCAAAAGACATCCTCTACCGGTTAAGTGTGTCCAAGGCCAAGTGCATTGTGGCCAGTGAGGAGGTGGCCCCAGCAGTGGAGTCCATTGTGTCAGAGTGTCCTCATCTCAAAACCAAACTCCTGGTGTCTCCAGAGAGACGGAAAGGGTGGCTCAGCTTCCAGGAGCTATTTCAGTGAGTACTTTTTCCCAGCCCACTGGCAACACCAGCAACTACATGGATCACAGCTGTATCTTGGAGTCTCCCTGACTCCAAGGACTTGGCAGCATTGTGAAATGACCTGGGTTTCCTCTCAGAAAAGTTGTCTTTTACAAGACTTTAAGGGCAGAAGGAAAGAATGTATCTTCACCTCCATTTTCCTGCTTTCCACCAGGGTGATCAAACTACAAGGTGTGGTCCTTGCCTAACTTTCTGGCCACATCTCTCTCTCTCTCATTCTCTCTGCCTTATTCCTCACACATGTAGGGACATTGGGGGCTTTGTACCTGCTCTTTGTTCTTCCTGGAATGTTCTTTCCTAGATTTATTTCAAAGTTGACACTTTGCTGTCAGATTTAGGGTAAAAGATTTTCTAAGTGAGCCTTTCCCTAACCACCTGTGCAGATTAGAACTTCATCACTCTACCATACCGCCCTCTTTTCTGTAGAGCATGAACCGCACTCAGGATTATCATGTTGTCCCTTTACCTGTTTCTTTGTTTAGAGTCTGCCTCTCTCCTCTAGAGTAAGTTGGCAAACTAGGCTCAAATCTGGCCTATCATTAATTTTTGTAAATGGTTTCATTGGAACTCAAATATACCCATTTGTTTACTTATCAGCTAAGCAGCTCTCATGTTACCACAGTAAACTTGAGCTGTACAATTTGTGTATGGTCCACATATACAAAAAGCCTGAGATAGTTGCTGCAGAAAACCAATCCCTACCCTAAATGATAAACTCTAAGATAACAGAGGCTTTGCTTGTCTATTTGATTATTTTATCCCAGTTTCTAACACATAGCTGATGCTGAAGAAATATTTACTGAATAAATGAGTGAACAAAGCAGATCACTTTTCGATGTTCATAGGGAAAGTGGAGATAGCTGCACTGTACATATCTCATGTTGTTTTGAGGATAAAATAAGGCAACACATGAGAAAACAGCTTCCTAAGCGTTAAAAAGTAAGTAGTTAATTAATGGAATTCTCTGTAAAAGAGGTGTAAATAACTTAGGTGTTCTTAAAAAAAAACTTTCAGAGAAGTTTATGGATAAGGAAGGTATGTAAAATTGTTGATTTATAGGGCAGCTTCTTTTGTTACAATGAAATTTTATCCTACTAATCCATGTAAACAAAATCCAATTGGTCAGGTCCCAAAATCTCTTCCAAGAGCCACATTAATGAATCCTGTGTGTTTTTTTTATAAGCTTGTGAAACCTTGGGAAAGTCAAGTCAATTTCTGAAACTCTGTATTTTATCTATCAAACGGGGATAAAGACAGTATCTAGCTCATGACATAATAGTAAAATCAGCCATGATAAAGTATATGGAATGCTTAGCATAATGCCTGGCACACAGGAATTACACCATGAATATTATAGTTCATCACTGCTATTATCAAATTCAAGTTCAAAAAGTCATTCAATAGTGTAGTGATTCCTAAGGTAGTAGTATCCTGATTATTCAAAATGCATCTCTACCAGCAAAATATTTTAATGCACTCCCCTAAAACAGGTATGTAGTCATAAATGATAAGCATGTGCTTCTGAGAATTACATGAACATTGACATTGAAAAGTGTGTAAAAATTCAAATGTCTATTACGTGGCCAATATGTGCCTTAAACTTAAGGGGGCAAAGACACAAGTCTGCAAGTCATGAACATACCATTAATTCTTAAAAATCAAGAAAGACAACTCAAAACTCCACGTTGCACATGGTCTCTTTTTGCACCAGGACAGTCCAAGCATCTCTGTCATTGTTGTGCTCCCCGACATCTCCCTCAGGGAAAGTCTCTTGAGGCTTGGGCTGAGAAGTCCCAGAATTTCAGCTGTACTGTAGTCATCAAAGTAAGTCATAAGGCTAGTCCAGAAGCAAGGAGAGGACCTCTTCAAAATGAGGGAACGGCATATGTATTTGTTCAGGGATAGAAGGAATGAACAATCAGTGCTATTAAAATGTAAACACCCTTATGCAGAGATTGTTGCAAGTTAGATTACTTCTGGTTTTAGTAACCCAAGAAGTCACTGAACAATACAAGCAACTCTATTATCTCATAAACTAGAAGCACAGTGGAAGGTTGGTTAATTCAGTGGTTTTGTGAAATTAACAAGAACCCAAATTCATTGATGCTTCCGTGATGCCATTCCCAGTATGATGACTAATTAGTTTCAGATATGTTTCAGAAATGCTCTAGACATTGAATAAAAGTTATGTAAAAGTGATTAAATGCCAAAGGATCTTCCTTTAAGAATAGAATATTCTGAAATGTTAACTTTACAAAGATTCAATTTTTATTTTTAAAATTCATAGGTTTTTAAAAGTTAAAAAAAAAAAAGTCAGACGGGTGGCATTGTGGTGCAGTGGTTTAGGCCAGTAGCTGCAGTGCCAGTATCTCATATGAATACCATTCAAGTTCTGTTTGCTTACTTCCTATCCAGCTCCCTGTTCATGAGCTAGGAAGGCAGCAGAAGATAGCCCCAAGTGCATGGGCTCCAGTTACCTACATGAGCGACCCAGGCTCTTGGCTTCCATTTGGCCCAACTCCAGCTAATGCGGCCGTTATGGAAGTAAGCCAGCAGATAAAAGATTTCTCTCTCTTATTAATTCTCAAATAAATCTTTCAAAATATCACTTAGTAAAAGATGTTTAAACAAGGGAAATTCATGTTCTCTTGTTACTTATATTGAAAGTCACTTTGGATATTTAATTTGCCTAACGGAGATGAAACTAAGAAAATAAGAGAAACATTTGAGTTGTTAAATCTTTGCACTGATCTTCAAAGTCCTTCCAAGATTGAGGAATTCCTCAAGGGAAGTTCTGGATCAGGCTCAGTTCCATGGACTATTTTCTGGTCACGTGATGAAGTAGCAGAACAACAACAACAACAAAAATGTCCGAGATAATGCTGGTCTGCCGGCCACTCCACCACCTGGGGGTTCATATTTTGCAGATCTGCCTCTGAGGAACACAGTTGCGTGGAGACAGGAAGTCAAGAACCAATGGCCATTTATTTCACCAGTGGCACCACAGGCTCTCCCAAGATGGCACAGCACTCTCAAAGCAGTCTTGGCATTGGGTACACCCTTTGTGGAAGGTAGGGAGGAAAATTCTGTTTCTGATAAGTGCAACTTGATCTGTTAACATGTGTATCCTATTGCCTAACGTCTCTCTTCTTGAATGGCTATGAATCATCTTAAAATCACATCTATCAAACAGAATTCTTGATGCAACTGCCTCATCCTAGGTCAGTAAATGGCACCATCTAACAGACCAATGAAGCAAGAATTTAGGAAACAACCTTGATTCAATACCATTACACGGTGTCTGGTCCCTTCCTGTGGTGAGATAAATTTATTGGCCCAGAAAAGCCTTACTACAAGGAATACTCTGTAAAATTTCATAATTTCACATTTTCTTTTCTTTTTCTTTTAAGATTTTTTTTTAATTGGGAAGTCAGATATACAGAGAGGTGGAGAAACAGAGAAGATCTTTTGTCTGATGATTCACTCCCCAAGCGGCCGCAATGGCTGGAGCTGAGTCAATCTGAAGCCAGGAACCAGGAGCCTCTTCCTGGTCTCCCACATTGGTGCAGGGTCTCAAGGCTTTGGGCCGTCCTCGACTGCATTCCCAGGCCACAAGCAGGGAGCAGGATGGGAAGCAGGGCTGCCGGGACTAGAACCAGCACCCACATGGGATCCCAGTGTATTCAAGGCGAGGACTTTAACCACTATGCTATCGCACTGGGCCCCGTATTTTATTTTCTATATAGAATTTATCACTATCTGAAAAAACACTACTTATTCATGCATTTAACTCACTATATTGTATAGTTTATTCATTATCTGTTTCCATAAAGAGTACATGTCTGCTCTCCCTTGCTCCCTGTTATAGAGAAATGCCTGGTACATAACATCTGGCCAATAAATATTCATTTCATCAACAGGTAAATTCAGAAAATAACACTAAATCTGGTCTTCTACTCCACTTGGACCACCAAGGATCCCCCCCTCAAAAAAAAAAACCTGCAAAGAAGAGACTCCCTCACCTTGCCTTGGGGCGTCTGGTTCATTCTCCATAGCCCTTGAAGTTCAAGGGCAAGTTTGCTTGCTTTCCTGCTGTTACTATAATTTACTTTTGATCTGTTTAGATACTGGCTGGACTTGAAGTCCTCAGATGTCATATGGAACATGTCCGACACCGGCTGGATCAAGGCTGCCATTGGCAGTGTGTTTTCCTCCTGGCTTCAGGGAGCCTGTGTTTTTGTGCATCGGATGGCCCAGTTTGACACTGATACTTTCCTAGATGTAAGTCATGATCTCCGGCTACATGTGTCTTTACAGCTCTCTCCTGTCTCCAAGAGACCAATATGAAATAATTCTTTAAGCAGGTTGGATTCCTTTAAATAATCCTTTTAAAAAGCAAAGTCTTCTTGGGGCTTTTTGAAAATATTTAATAGAGTCTTAGGGGAAAATGCACAATACCTTGACATAAAACCTGGATTACTGCTTCAGATTGCTGAGAATTTGATATTGTCACTGAATCTGCAGCTGTGTATGAGCCTCATTCTAAATCATAGATTAGACATCCCCAGACTAAACAAATCTTTTATTTCTAATTCAGTGAAGCAAAGACAATAGCTGGTCATTCCAAACTCCCGTGTGGAGGAGATTAAGAGTGGGATCACCTTTCTCCCAGCATAGCAACTTCGGTTATCCACCCACCATGTGCTTCTCATTTTCTTCTTCTTTTCATTAGATTTATTTTATTTTTATTGGAAAGGAACATTTATAAAGAGAGGGAGAGAAAGAAAGACCTTCCATCTGCCGTGCACTTCCCAGATGGTTACAATCATGGTCAGAAATGATTTGATTAGAAGCCAGGAACCAGAAGCATCTTCTGGGTCTCCCATGTAGTTATAGGGTCCCAAGAATCTGGACCATCCTCTACTGCTTTTACAGGCCATAAGCAAGGAGCAGCCGGGACACAGACACTTGTAAAGGGAGAATTAGCCAACTGAGTTATAATGCTGGACCAGCTACTCATTTTCTTAACTCTCAGAACTCAACACTCATTTGGAAACCAGCCATTCCTAACATTCTCAACTAGACTAAAAAAAACAAACAAACAAAAAAAACAAAACAAAAAAACAAACAAAAAAAAACCCTGGAGGGCTTTAGCACTTAGAAAAATGTGGTCAGGGGCTCAGCATGGTAGCTTAGTGGCTAAAGTCCTTGCCTTGCATGTGCTAGGATCCCCTACTGGAGCCAGTTCATGTCATGGCTGCTCTTCTGTCACAGCTCTCTACCTGTGGCCTGGGAAAGCAGCAGAGGATGGCCCAGGACGTTGGGACCCTGAACCCATGGGATGAAGTTCCTGGCTTCTGATCGGAGCTCAGCTCTGGCCATTGTGGCCACGTGGGGAGTGAACCACTTGGAGAGTGACTGCAACAGCCAGAGCTAAGCCAATCTGAAGCCAGAACTTCTACCTTTTCTTCCACATGGATGCAGAGTTTCAAGGCTTTGGAACATTCTCCACTGCTTTCTCAGTCCATGGCAGGAAGCTGGATGTGAAGTGAAGCAACCAGGGCATGAACCAGCACCCATATAGCATCCCAATACTTTAAAGGTGAAGATTCAGCCATTGAGCCATTCTGCTGGGCCCCAACTGCTTCACTTTTGATGCAGCTCTCTGCTATGGCCTGGGAAAGAAGCGGAGAATAATCCAAAGCCTTGAGACAATGCACACCCATGTGCAGAGACCAAGAAGAGTCTCCTGACTTTGGATCAGTTCAGCTCTCGGGAATGAAGCAGCAGATTGAAGATACTTCTCTCTGTTTCTCCTTATCTCTGCAAACATGCTTTTGAAATAAAAATAAAGAAATATTTTTAAAAATTATGCATAGTTTGGAATTTGTGCTAAATTCATTTCATTTTCCATGAACTTTTGAAGTACTCTTGTATGGGCAGAGGTTATGAAATTTCACTATATTAGGTCAGTAGTATTCCCAAAATAAAATAAACAAATTGTATTTGTCAGCTTTACATCATTACAACCAAATTCTCAAGACAAAATGCTTACAAAGGAAGGTTTATTTTGGGTTGTGGTTTTGTATATCAATATTCAAGACTGGCAGACTCCACTGATATAGAATCTGGTGAGGCTGGAGGATGGTAAAGGTGAACTAGGAAGCAGAAAGCAGAAAGAGAGAGAGGGAAAATGAGAGAGAGAGGGAGAGAGAGAGGGTGCCAGCAGCTGAGCCTGATTCAAGTTTACGTGCAGTCAAATGCTCTAGCCCTGAGCTATACCCCCCTGACTCCAGCTTCTCTAACCTAAGCTCTCATAACTGCCTTCGGAAGGCACATCTCCAGTGACCTAAGATTCTCTTATTAGGCCCTACTCTTAAATATCAATATTCAGTTTAGTTTCCATCCTTTGAGTACCATTAACTGAAGACTTTTGAGCTTAAATATCTGCATGAACTCTGGATCCAAATCTTTTCCAAAACACTGCACCAGTTTATGCCTTGAGTTATTCTGAAACGTGTGAATCAATTACTTGTTTAGTTTGATGAGTCAATGTCTGTTTCTAAAATATAAGTACTTCTTTCCAGTGGTTGGAAGTTCCCAACACAGTCAGTAGTAACATTAAAAATCTTTACTTGTTCTAGTAGTGACCAGGAGATGGGCATAAATGAATGGAAAGGCATTAGAAGATGCAGACATAAGCTTAGCCCTGGCCCTTAGTTGACCAGTTTTGACATGTGTGTCTTTATCACCCAGACGCTTACCACATATCCCATCACGACTTTGTGCAGTGCTCCCACAGTGTACCGGATGCTAGTGCAAAAGGACCTTCAGAGGTATGTGGACAGAAACTTCAGTTCGAACTACACAAAAAAGCGAATATCTAGCATCACAGACACTCCTCCCGCCCCACCCTATACTCTAATTTCAGCACAGGATAGCCCAGGGCTTCCCAGTCTCACCATGTTGGACTGAATAATTCTGTTATGTGGAGCTCTCCAAAGCATAATAGGAAATTGAGTAGTATCTCTAGCCTCGATCTCCCAGAGGCCAATGGTACCGCCCCCTAATCTGTGACAAGCAGAAATGTCCTTAGACATTTCCCAGTGTTCCTGGGAGGTGAGACATGACAGGCCCTCAGGGTGAGAACACTGGGCTATCCTCTAGGCTGCACCCGGGCGTTTCTCTGAAGACGATCTGAACCCTACAGTTCCAGAAGAGCCATTCAGAAACATTATACATTAATACCACTCCTTTAGAAACACTGTCATTTAGAATTAACCCCAAAACAAAAACAACAGCATAAAAGAAGTAGATCCAGACTTCCTTGTTGAAAAGTTGATGCATATATGACTTGAAGGTTATATTAAATTTTGCCAAATCATCCAAACATCCAGTAGTTGAAATGCATATCTATGTAACTAATTCAAAATGTATATACGAGGAGAGGGAGCAAGGAAGAGAGAAATAAAGTGCATAGTGCAGGCTTGTTCATCCTGTTACCCAAAGGTGTGGTACTTTGAGGAAAGTACTTTGATAGAATAACACAGATATTGGGCCTGGTGCAGTGGCCTAGTGGCGAAAGTCCTCGCCTTGAATGCACCAGGATCCCATATGGGCACCGGTTCTAATCCCAGCAACTGCACTTCCCATCCAGCTCCCTGCTTGTAGCCTGGGAAGGCAGTCGAGGACGGCCCAAAGCCTTGAGACCCTGCACCCACATGGGAGACCTGAAGGAAGTTTCAGGCTCCTGGCTTTGGATCGGCGCAGCACTGGCTGTTGTGGTCCCTTGGGGAGTGAATCATCATATAGAAGAGCTTCCTTTTTGTCTCTCCTCTCTGTATATCTGACTTTGCAATAAAAATAAATAAATCTTCTTTAAAAATAACACAGATATGAATCATCTCTTTCTCTTATCAGTGTCAGCACCTTTGTGGCCTTCCAAAATTTGATCTTGCTTACGTTTCAAGAGTTATTGTTGATGACTCTTCAGTGGTTACTTTGCACATTCATAATTCATAGCCTACCTACCCCCTCCACTCACTGGAACCTCACTGTATGAGAACTGGGTTGCCCCGGCCTTTCTCCTCTGAGTCCAGTAAGGCCAGTGGTTAAAATATGAAGCCACAAGTTCAATATCAGACACTCAAGATGATCTTGGCAAGCCCCAGTTAACTCCACCCATGGGAGGAGATACAGGATCACCTCCGAGGCATGGCGACATCAGCTTGGGGAGTAGTCATGCAGAGCCGAGTATCCAAACCAGCCCTTTATAATTCGGGAGGCCTGGAAAATTCTTGAACCTGAGTTTCAATTTCCTCATCTGTAAACAGGGCTTGAGAGGATTCTAAGAGCTCTCCTGAAACTGCTTCACTATAGCACCAGCTCACTATAAATTGTTGGCTACTATACAATTTGTCTCATAACATTTATTAATATTGTTGTATTTATTTTCCTCCTTTTTCCTTAATAGGTAAGTTCTCCAGGTGATAAACTTCAAACTCTTTCAGAAATCTTTGTTTCAATCACTAATGTGCACCACTTGCTTAGAACAATGTCTGGCAGTATAGTTAAGCGTCTGAAAAATAGTCATAAAATCAACATTCTTAAGACTTTCCTCTCCTAGTTCCTTGGCTTCTGGCTTGAACGCCCTAATTATCTTACAGTTAATTTCACTCAGATTTTCTTTGTCAAAGACCAAAAGCAACTTTGTCTCTTCAGATATAAATTCAAGAAGTTGAGGCACTGCTTGACTGGAGGAGAGCCACTCAATCCAGAGGTTCTGGAACAATGGAAGGCACAGACTGGGTTAGAGCTGTACGAAGGCTATGGACAGACAGAAGTGGTAAGATTTAAAGAGCAACCTTTGACATTCTGTGAGCTATTCTTACCTACTGGAGCTCTTCAAGTTTCCTGATCATGCTCTAAATTTCTATGGGTTCCCTAGGGTACTTTACCTTGTTAGTAATTAGCAAAACTTCTAACTTGCTCAGTTAGGTTTCTCTGAAGGGGAACTGTGACTATTCCACACAATCTTTCTGCCTACTCTCCATCCACGAGAAATCTCAGCGGTCTTAGGGGTTGCTGAGGTTTATAACTGAGCAACTCAGCTTTGCATTGCACTGGAAATGGACCTCGGAGTGCCTCCATGGCAATCTAATCTAAGACGCACTTAACAGTCCAAAGTGGTTTTCAAAGTATGGTCCTCTAACCAGCATTATCAGACCCCATCAAACTCCTGTTAAATCAGAATCTCCAGGTGATTGTGACACACAACTCAAGGTCAAGAATAAATGGCTTCAAACAACATATTTCAGAAGATGAACTGCATATTGAGAAAAAGCGAACCAAAATTGAATCTCAAGCCTCACTGTTATGATATAAAAAGCTACAGAAAAGGAATTTTCATGCACTTATATATAATGTTTATCTTCTCAACAGGGAATAATTTGTGCCAACCAGAAGGGGGAAGAAATCAAACCAGGCTCAATGGGGAAAGGAGTGCTACCCTATGATGTCCAGGTGAGCTGAGAAAATATCTGGCCCACAAAAGAAGGCCTTCTAGTTTCATGTGATTTTCTTCACATAACTATTTACAATCTGTTCCCATGTTGTGAAAAAATTTTTTAATAAGATAAACTGTTTCTTTCATTTTAGATTATAGATGAAAATGGCAATGTCCTTCCACCCGGCAAGGAAGGGGAAATTGCCCTCAGGCTAAAGTCTACCCGGCCCTTCTGTTTCTTCTCTGAATATGTGGTATGAACACATAAAAAGTGCTAGTCACAATTTAATACAGATAGGAGGCCCAATTTGCTTATCTACTATGTCTTGCTACATAATTGTGGGCAAGTGACAAAATCTAAGTCTATTTCATCAGCTGTAAAATAGGGGCGCGGGGGAGAATATCACATAACTCCTGGGAGTACTATCCAGATGTTAGTCTACGTTTAACAAGCCAGTGTTAGTGCTTATCCTCAGAATGGAGAATGGAAAAGGCTGAAGCATTGGGGAGAATCTCGGGACATTAGCAGCAGAACAGAGGTTTACTTCATACCACACTCTTTTAGTCCTTTTGTATTTCCTACATGAAATTATCTTTTTGAAAAAACCTAATTTCCTTTAGAAGTAGAATGTGTAATGCACTAGTTGCTTAATGGGTGTCAGGTCCCTGATTGTTGTATCAAAAATAATTCCCAAATATCATTTTTTCATTACTAGGACAATCCAGAGAAGACGGCTGCCACAATAAGAGGAAATTTTTATGTCACTGGAGACAGAGGAGTAATGGACAGTGAGGGATATTTCTGGTTTGTCGGCAGGGCTGATGACGTGATTATATCCTCTGGGTTTGTACAACTGCCACTCTCAGAAAGTACTCACTTGTCAGGGAGCATGCTCTGCTGTGCAGGTTGGGGGAGGTAGAGGAATTAAAGCTTGCTGTTCTTCCCTAGGTACCGTATTGGGCCATTTGAAGTGGAGAGTGCACTCATTGAACACCCTGCAGTGGTTGAATCGGCTGTTGTCAGCAGTCCTGATCCAATCCGAGGAGAGGTAGAGTGAATGCCATTAATTAAAGTTACAACTGCATATTTTAAAGTTCTACCCATTTTGCCATGGCCAAGACCACATCAAGATTAATCATTTAACTCTCATTAATGAGACACATCTTTAGCAAAAAAAAAAAAAAAAAAAAAAATTTAAGTATCCAAGCAATCGTTTTTGATGAAATGATTTGTGCACCAAGAAGCATATATTAGAAAATTTTAAGATTTATTTTTTTATTATTTTTTCATTGGAAAGGCGGATATACAGAGAGGAGATACAGAGAGGAAGATCTTCCATCCGATGATTCACTCCCCAAGTGAGCCGCAACGGGTCGATACTATGCCGATCCGAAGCCAGGAGCCTCTTCCAGGTCTCCCACGCGGGTGCAGGGTCCCAAAGCTTTGGGCCGTCCTCAACTGCCTTCCCAGGCCACAGGCAGGGAGCTGGAAGGGAAGCGGGGCTGCCGGGATTAGAACCGGCGCCCATATGGGATCCCGGGCGTGCAAGGCGAGGACTTAACCACTTGCGCCACCGCGCCGGGCCCAAGAAAATTTTAAAAATATTTTATTGGTGGTGACATTCAACCCAAACTGACTGAGAGGAAAGAAAAAATGTTCACATTGGTAAGAGGCATTCAGGTACAGCTATACCAAAGGCTCACGAGAAGTTAGCAAGGTTTAGCCTCTCCTTGTTAGACTCTGCTATTTCTTTTTTTTTTTTTTTAAGATTATATTTATTGGAAAGTCATATACAGAGAGGAGGAAGAGAGAAGGGGAGACAGAAAGGAAGATCTCCCATTCACTGATTCACTCCCCAAGTGGCCGCAACGGCTGGAGCTGAGTCAATCTGAAGCCAGTAGCCAGGAGCCTCTTCTACATGGGTACAGGGTCCCAAGGCTTTGGGCCATCCTTGACTGCTTTCCCAGGCTGCAAGCAGGGAGCTGGATGGGAAGCGGGGTTGCCGGGATTAGAACTAGTGCCCATATGGGATTCTGATGTGTTCAAGGTAAGGACTTTAACCACTAGGCTATCAGGCCAGGCCCAGGCCAGGCCCTATTTCTTAATTCTTCTTTCTTCTTATTCTTATTGCATTTAAGCAAGTTAATTCTACTTGAGAGCAACTGATTCCAGACTCCCAAAATTCAATGACCATCACCACTTCCCCCTGCCAGCCCCTGGAAAGGAGCAAGCTTTCTTTTCAGTCATTTAAGTTGTAGCTACTCATTTTTCTATTGTAGACCACATCTTTAGCCAATGTGAATTAGAGAATGGTATGCCCACTGCCCAGATATGAATCATTCCGTTTGTCACTGGAGTTTGGGTTTTCAAGCCACCAGATAGAAGTTAGAGGAATACCTATAGGAAACCAGGGTACTGGTATTAAGATGGGGAACAGAGACTGTAACAAAGCCAGTATATTTTACTGGATGTACCATTGTCATAGAATCAATTTTCTCACAGAAACAACATACAGAGAATATTATTAGCCAGGCTCCTAATGGTCTTCTTAGGATCTAATGAAAGTAATGATGGTAAAACCTGCTTCTAGAAGCCCTAGAGATGGAATAAACTTCCTTTACTCATGGCAGTTTTCAAAGAATCAGCAAGTTGCAAGATGTCAAAATGGTGTGTCTACCAGCATCCTTCCACACATCTCTTTCTGCATCCTCACATGCCAATGAATTACTTCAGCGTCTATGAGTACCACACTCTCATTTCTTGTACACTCTCAATTCTTGATCTATTCCATTCTCCAAAGGATTTTCCTTTTGCCAACACATTCTCATTCTCTCAATAAGATGGCAGCTGAATAGTAGAAATCAACACTAACTGGAAATTAATGTTAGGAATAATAATATATATACTATGCTTCTATTTTCAAATATTATGTAACTACTGAGTATCAAATTGTATTGCAAAAGAACAAAAAAATGAAAGGCAAGAAAGAACTCTTAGAGATGTATCAATCTTTCCTGATATATACTCTTTCCCTGATTAGATTTCTCCAAATGCCCTACATTCATATTCTTCATATTCTCTAGAGTCTCCATTTGTCCCTCTATGACATAACAATGTCATAACAATATGGATCTTCTAACAATATGGATCTGACAGTCAGTGGCCATCTGTAAATCAAGGACTGCCTTTTCTATACAACATATGGAATCTCTTTGACCAACATATTAAATACATATGTGACATATAATTATGACAGCTGTAACTAGACTGTAAACTTACTTTATAATTGCATCCAAGCTTCATTCAAAGATGACCCTTGACATTTGCAATCCAGAACTAATCGTGTGTCTGAAAAACAAACAAGATAACATCAATTTACTTTTTTTTTTAAATTGCAGGTGGTGAAAGCTTTTGTTGTTTTATCCATCCCCTTTAAATCTTCCAATCTAGAGAAATTAACTCTTGAGCTTCAGGATCATGTTAAAAAATCAACTGCACCTTATAAGTATCCAAGAAAGGTAAGGATTTCGCCTATTGTTTATGTTACCAAACTAGCATTTATGTTAATACGAGGGGACTTCAAAATGTTTACGGAAATATGGCATTAAAAATAGTGTCCAATGTAATGGCTCAATGGCTCAATCCGCACCTTGCAAGTGTTGGGATCCCATATGGGTGCCAGTTGGTGTCTTGGCTGTTCCACTTCCCTTCTAGCTTCCTGCTTATGACCTGGGAAAGCAGTGGAGGATGGTCCAAAGCCTTGGGCCCTCACACCCAAGTGAGAAACCCATAAAAATCTCCTTCCTCCTGGCTTCAGATTGGCTCAGCTCTGGCTGTTGCAGCCATTTGGGAACTGAACCAGTGAATGGAAGATCTTCCTCTCTGTCTCTCCTTTCTGTAAAGCTGCCTTTCCAATGAAAAAGAATCTAACAAATTGCTTTTTCAATATAATTTCCATAAAGCATGAGATATTTTTGTAAGCAATGATACCAGCCATTTAGTGCATCGCTAAAGAACGGAGGATCTTCTATCTCTACTTTCAAATCAAAGATGAACTCCCAATGAATCATTTGAACGTATCCTGACAATAGGATTCTGGACTCTGCCATTGTCCATGCATACACTTAAATAGCAGAATGATGGATTTACAACTGCTGATGAAGGACTATGTTATTGTAATAATACAGGGGAAATCAGGAGGTTGGGGAGGGGGAATTTAGAGAGGGGATAAAAGAAATCCCAGAGCCTATGGAATTGTATCCTTAAAAATAAAAAGGATCCTAGAGATTTCACACTGTCAATGCAGTCTTCCACTTTTATCAACTATAGAAAATGGGTGTCCTTTAGAGATTTTTAAGATCAGAAAAGTCAGTGGGAGCCAAACCAGGTTTCTAAGGTGGCTGCCTAATCCTTTCCCTCCAACTCACAAATGGCCCTTGTTTGATGAGGGGGGCAGGGGCACTGCCGTTTTGGAGAACTTCCTGATTAAGTTTTCTCCAGCATTTTTCTGCTAAAGCTTTGGCTTTTACGAAACACTCTCCTCATAAGTAGATTTTCAGTTATTGCTTTTGACCCTACTAAAGGTCAACAGACAAAGCTACTGCTGTGACTTTTGCTCTAGACCAGTGTGGTTTTGCTTGGATTGAATCACTTCCACCTCTTGGTAACCATTCCTTGGATTGTGCTTTGTTGTCAGATTGTATTGGAAATGTTTCATTTCCTATCACAATTCGTTTACTAACTATGCATTTTTCTACTTGAAAGTCAGTTAGATAGAGAGGGAAAGACATCCTGATTAATTCCGAGATGACTTCAATGGTTCAGGCAGAGCCAAAGCTAAGAGCGAGGAGCTTCATTGGGGGGTTCTCCCATGCGCGGGGCAGGAGCCACAGGCCACAGCACTTAGCCTTCTCTGTTGCTTTCTCAGGCCATTGGCAGGGTTTTGGATTCAAAGTTGTACAATAAGCACACAAACTAGCACGCATATGGGATACCCATATGGTGTTACAAGGTGGTATCTCTGCCCACTATGCCCACTTCTCAAGGAAGTCTTTCAGGGTCTTGCTCCCATTTGTTGACAAATTCCACTGAAAGCTGTGCTTGCTGCTGTTTGCAATTGATCTGGGAACAGTAATTTTATACCATCAAGCAGAAGGTTTGCTTCATTTTTTTTTTTTTTGTCAAAACTTTGTAATTCGGGCCCAGCGCGGTGGCGCAAGTGGTTAAGGTCCTCGCCTTGCACGCCCGGGATCCCATATGGGCGCTGGTTCTATCCCAGCAGCCCCACTTCCCATCCAGCTCCCTGCCTGTGGCCCGGGAAAGCAGTCAAGGACGGCCCAAAGCTTTGGGACCCTGCACCCGTGTGGGAGACCCGGAAGAGGCTCCTGGCTTCGGTTCGGCATAGTATCGGTCATTGTGCTGACTTGGGGAGTGAATCATCGGACAGAAGATCTTCCTGTCTTTCCTCTCTGTATATTGGCCTTTCCAATTAAAAATAATAATAAAAATAAATCTTAAAAAAAAACTTTGTAATTCAAGCCAATTGATAAATCTGATATTGGTGTCAGTCCTGTTCAACTAGGGCAGGAACAATAAATTTTTTCTTCTCAAATTGAGGTGGATGGTCTAACACCATGGGCTTTATCTTCAACATCACCTCAGTCTTAAAATGAATTACACATTTTAAGCTGATTTCTTCAGATTATCACCACGAACTTACTGTAAGCCACGAGTAATGGCATTCCTCCACCCAAGTTTGACTATCAATTTGATATTTGTTCTTGCCTCAAGGGTAGTAGAATTCATATTAGCCTGATAGCTATTTTTAAAGTGATTTCTTGGCCTTTTTATTGCTTCAAATAATATTCTCCAGCCATGTTGTAACAAGTTAGTAGCCATTTGGGGACGAGGAGATGGGAAGAGTGGCCAAAAACTGAAATTCATGCATGCCTTTACAAATTTATTTTCTGGGCCCAGCACAGTAGCCTACTGGCTAAAGTTCTCTCCTTGCATGCGCTGGGATGCCATATGGGCACACGTTTCAATCCCAACAGCCCCACTTCCCATCAGGTCCCTGCTTGTAGCCTAGGAAAGCAGTCGAGGACGGCCCAAGGCCATGGGTTCCTGCATGCATGCAGGCCACCTGGAAGAAACTCCTGGCTCATGGCTTTGGACTGGCTCACCTCCGGCCATTGCAGCCACTTGGGAAGTGAATCAGTGAATGAAGATCTTCCAGTCTCTCCTCCTTTGTGTTTATCTGACTTCTAAAATTAATCTTAAAAAAGTATTTTTATTGGAAAGGCAAATTTTTAGAAACATCTTGTCTGCTGGTTCACTCCTCAAGTGGTTACAATGACTGGAGCTGAGCTGATCTGAAGCCAGGAACTGTTTCCAGGTTTTGCACATGGGTGCAATATCCTAAGGCTATAGCCATCCTCTGCTGCTTCCCCATGCCATAAGCAGGGAGCTGGATGGGAAGTAGAGGATTTAGCCACTGAGCTATCGTGCTAGGTCTAATTTTTCATTATATTTATTTCCCAAGAACTCTTTGAAGACCCCTTTGATTTTATTGGATTGACTTTAATAGCAGCTTATTTTAGAAAACACCTTTTCAATTTGTTTAGCACTAAGAATTTGCTTTGAAATGTTTCATAATAGGATTCTATAAATCTAGAACATAGATATCTATGTAAAATTAAGAATCACTATAGCACTAAGTAGAGCATTCCATTGCAATTGCCATGTGCCTTGCTTCTTAGAGACTAAGGATTAACTCATTCACTTCTTAGTACTTTCTGACATAATACACTGAAACTTAAAAACATGTGCCTTTAAATAACTTTCACACAATTTAGTTAGGAAGAAGGTGGCATCCAAAGAAACTGTGCAATCTTCTGAAACCCCTAAAAGACAAAATCTTCCGTCTACTCATATACTCCCCAGATGGCTCCAATGGCTGGAGCTGGGCAGATCTGAAGCCAGGAGACAGTATCTTCTTCTAGGACTCCCACATGTGTACAGGGGTCCAAGGACTTGAGCCCTACTCTGCTCCTTTCCCAGCCATAAGCAGGCAGCTGGGACTTGAACTGGCATCTGTAAGTGATGCTGGCACCATAGGTAAGGATTTAAGAACAATTCTATACAGAGACAGCACTTCCATTTCCTTCTAGAGCCGAGATCCTTTTGGTTCATCTTTAGTTGAACTTATTTCATCCAAAAGGTAGTTCTCTTCAACGTAAGAATTTGGTAATACAAGTAAAAATGGATTTAAAAAAACTTATTTTTATTGGAAAGGCAGATTTACAGAGAAGACAAGAAAGATCATTCATCTACTGGTTCGCTCCCCAAAAGACCACAATGGCTGGAGCTGAAACGATTCAAAGCCAGGAGCCAAGGGCTCTTTCTATGTCTTTCACTCAGTTGTGGCCTCCCCAGGCTTTGAACTATTCTCCACTGCTTTCCCATAATGAACAAGGAGCTGGATGGACAGGATATGAACTGACACCAACACGGGATGCTGACACTTGAAGGCAGAGGATTATTAGCTGACTGAGCTATCACACCGGCGATAATGAAACATTGTTTTATTTATTGGTTTTAACCATTTTAATATTTCAATCAATAGCACTTTGGTTTTCAGAAACGTCTGAGGGTATCTTAAGGCAGCAACATCACATGTACTGCAAATTATACTTAAAAAAATTTTGCTCCTCAGAATATACAAAGCACAGTTCCTAAAAAGTCCAAAAACCAAGAATTTATTTTCTTTTTGGATTTAGGTAAGGTCTCCATTTTCCAAGGCAGTAGAGGTACTAGGCTGTTAAAACCAGGGGAAGGACTAGGATATAGGAGTTATAGCACATATGGGAATAACATTCTCATGTCCACAAAATTCAAACAGCTTAGACTAAGACTAAGCTCCAGACTATCAAACTGAGGAATTTCATAAAAATTCTGTTACTGTAATGATCATTAAGTCAAAATGGGATCAAATGTCTCATAATGTGTTTTTCTTTCAATTAGATGGAATTTGTTGATGAACTTCCAAAGACCATCACTGGAAAAATCAAACGCAATGTTTTAAGAGACAAAGAATGGGGACGAAGATAGCTTCAAACAAAACTACAGGACAAAGCAGCAACACAGTTGCTTTTAATGAAATGACTACTAAGCTAAAAACATTCAAGGATTTTTTCCTAGTTGATAATCTGTTAGGGTTCTGTAATTGCCTGAAACACTATTAAGAAAATAAAAATCTAACAACACTCGGGAAGAAAATTGTTAAAATGACAAAACTGACTAATCTAATAATTATAATTATCTATAATGCATAAAATAGCAGAATTCAAATGATTTCATAAAAAGAACCATATATACCAATCTTTCATTTTTCTTATACCCAATTAAAGTGAAGAATTATTCTAGCAGAATGTGTCTGACAGCTTTTTATAACATTTTTGACACCAAAGCACTAACAAAATTAAATCATTTGAAACAAATTCACTTTAAAATATCTGAAACTTGAATTATTTAAGAACATTACTAAAAAAAAAAACCTTTATTCAATACAATATATATATTTAGAACCTACAATATATATATTTAGAACCATCTACATTATTTTTTTTAAAAAAGATTTATTCTATTTTTATTGGAAAGGCGGATATATAGAGAGGAGAGACAAAGAGGAAGATCTTCCGTCCGATGATTCACTCCACAAATGAGCGCAACGACCCGATGCTATGCCGATCCGAAGCCAGGAGCCTCTTCCGGGTCTCCCACGCAGGTACAGGGTCCCAAAGCCTCGGGCCGTCCTTGACTGCTTTCCCAGGCCACAGGCAGGGAGCTGGATGGGAAGTGGGGCTGGTGGGATTAGAACCGGAGCCCATATGGGATCCCAGGCATGCAAGGCAAGGACCTTAACCACTTGCGCCACCGCATTGGGCCCCATCTACATGATTTTTTAAAATCACACAAATACTTTATGATGTACAAGTGCAAGAAATTATTAAGACTCAGAAATAACAAGAAAGTACAAAACACAAATCTTTGGGGAACAAATTTATTTTGCTTTTTCTGAAAATATCAGGAGTTACAAAAAAAAGTTGAGTATCTGGCTACAGCAAATCCAAAATACATGTCAAAATAGCATTTGAAAACAATACCCAAGAAAAACATGTTTAAAGAACAAGTTTAAGTGTTTAGTATATAGAGCAAGATAGTATACTAAAAAATAACATTGTTTTGTCAACAAACATACCTATCTTAAAAATAAAAAGCTGAACAGCAACTCCTTGCACCTCTCCCTGCCCCCTAAAAGCCTCAATAAATTGCTACCCTGGATTCTGGTCATTTATAAATACTGAGATGTCAAGAAAATAGTTGACAAAGCTGAGAAAAATCAATGAATAAATTCAGATTCCAACAAAACACAATATTGTGTTACTGGGGGAGTAGCTTGACCTTGTGTTACACTCAGATTTTACCAAATAAATACAAATCAAATAAAAACAAACTGTACCGTCAAAATTGCTCTATACACTAGCAGCTTCACCCAGTTCCATAAAGTTGTACGTTGGGTAGGTATATGGCCAGTCCCTTTGTCCTGCACTATCAAAATAAAAGTGTCCTTGTCATATAGCAAATCAGCTGATGAAGGCACCAAGACCCTATCTTCCCTGTTCTTCCACATGATGCTAATAACGTCTATCATCATTTCAGGAACATTTTATTCTCCTGAAAAGGTAACATTTTACATATCTGGAGATACTTAAAGAAGTTCCTGCCCCAACCACATTAGCAAGGTGCTGCCTGCTCTCCTTGTCCCTCCCAAGCCCTTCTAGCATGGTTTACCTTCAGTACAATTAAGGTAGGACAGAAAATGAGGTCCCCATTCCATGTTGAATTATCACAGCCACCTGTGCAGGACCTTAACATTCACATCACTGCCTAGCCTTTTAAAGTTTCAGAACAAACCCATCTCCAAAATCCCTTTCATATTCTCAATCCGGATAACAGTTTGCAGACTTGGTTTGTGCTTGCCTCTGTCAGCCTTTTGCAGTTGTTTTATAAGGAGTCCTTGAAAGAAAGCAAAAATTCAGAGAATACTCATGGTGAACAAGAGCATTTAGTTGAAAGATACTCCTATTTCACAGAAATTCAGATCTGCCAGCTATGGCCGAATACTTCTGAGACAGCCTTAGGTTAAGCAGATTTCCAGGAGCTTCTCAATCAGTTGTGCAATAGTGCTGGCAAAATAAGAGGACATGCTATTCAACTGGGCATGGTTATTTTCCCAGGTGGATTTGAGATCTTTTGTATTATTTGTTCTTGGGCCTGCTGCAGAAACATTTCAATTGTTCTCTTGGCAACTCCTGATGTGAGTTTTCTAGACTCAGTTGCTTGTCAGATATAAAATTGTCACTTTAACAAACAGCTTCTTTCTAGGATTTTTAACTTTCTGGATTGCTTATTCACTGATAAAAACGTATGCTAAGTTGGCTAGGTTTCTGCAGCCATTCTTGCATTTACAGTGTTTAATTCCCCAAGTGATTCACTCCCCAAGTGACCGCAATGGCTGGTACTGTGCTGATCCGAAGCCAGGAGCCTCTTTAGCAAAGTCTGGTCTACAATTATTCTAAGTACAGGACAATTTGCATTTAGAATCAAACAGTCAAGAAGTCTGCCCCTGGTAAATCTCTAGGTTGTTGCATGGAGGAGGGGATTTATGTCTCTTCTTTGACCAGGTTTAGTTTTGGGTTTGTTTGTTCAACATTTTAGCATAAGTAGGTCTTCAGTGGAGTTCACCATTTTTTTCTAGCATTTTTAGAATGTCTTTCATTTCATCTCCCAAGTTCTTAATACCAAGAACTCTCTGAAGAGCGCAGTATGCTCTAACATCAGCAATTCTTGTCATTAAATAGAGGGTAAAATTTGTTACAGTCAACCACTGATGGTGCACCAGGATGACCCTTGGTTTTTAGATGAGATACACATGAAATATACATTGGCCTATAGAACAAGCTTTCAAAAAATTTTAGATGTCATCACCATTCACAAATCGCTCAAATGCTACAGTATGGCAACTATTCACTCAATCAACAGACAGAAAAGATGCTGTGTTCCAGTTAGCCAAAGCTCTTGAGCATAATATGATATAAGGTAAATAAACCTGTTAAACCGAAGTAAAGGCTTCAATTTTTTTATACTGTGTATTACCCTACTGTTTTGTTTGTTTTTCTTTTTTAATTGGAAAGTCAGATATACAGAGAGGAAGATCTTCCATCCGCTGATTCACTCCCCAAGTGGCTGCAACACCCAGAGCCAATCCAAAGCCAGGAGCCAGTAGCTTCCTCCAGTTCTCTCGCTTGGGTGCAGGAACTCAAGACTTTGGGCGGTCCTCCATTGCTTTCCCAGGTCACAGGCAGGGAGCCCCACTTCCCAAAGTGGGGCTGCTAGAAATAGAATCAGCACCCATATGGGATCTCGGGGGTGCAAGGCAAGGACTTTAGCTGCTAGGCTACCACGCAGAGCACCACCCTACTGTTTCCATGTTGATATCATTATATTTTCACCGACCATGTATATTTTCTTTGGGACGAGTTCCGCTAATAAATAACTTGCTTGTTAAATCTTTAAACTTTTTTGAACAACAGCTTTACTCTTTTAATATTCCAGAATGCATTCAAAATAACTAACATCCTTACTTGTCAAATGGCTGTGATTTACAATTGTTTGGACAATTACTAAATTTTGGACTCTAATACACCAGGTAAGGCATGATGGCATGAGGAGTGTCCATGCAAAACCCTGGAGAGGTAGCTTTCATTGTACAGAATTTCTTTGTGTTCTCGGTTGTATTGGTGTATTAAATGAACTCAAAGACCATACTTCTTAACCACTAACCTTATCAGCAATGTCTGTAGGTCTATGCCTATGATCGTCCTCTTCCACCTCACATCTTGCCTTCAAAAACTGCAGCAATGAACTGTCAGGAGTTTTTTATACAAAGAAATGTTAAAATATTAAAAATAGATCTAACAAGAAAAACACAAATACAAAAACACCAAATAAATCATTTCTAACCCACCCAATCTATGCTTCTGCAACATGAACAAGAGTACACAAAAACACAAAAATTGCTTCTTTAGAATGAATAAATTTTCCTAAGATTCTTTCACTTCAGCAAGCTTGTTGACTCCCCTGGGTCAGCTGGCAGTGTCAAAGGGGAAGCTGGGAGGTAATCATGAAGGAGAAGCCAAAGTCATCCTCCTATCGGTAGCAAGTACCCTCCTTGCAGCAGCTTGTGGATCTTAACATGCTGCCATGTAGGACTGAAAGATTCTAACAGGAACTATTGCAGGGCTTCCTGCATGAGATCAATACTTTTAAGAATAGCATTATGCAGCACACAAAGGTCAAAAACATTTTCAGTTGACAATTTGCCTGGAACTCACTGTAAACTGTACCACCAACAACCAGTTACCTCCTATGAGACATCAGTTGTATCTGACTGGGGTCCGTCTGTGATTTGACTGGCAGGTTCAGGTTTAGTTCCTCCCTCATGTGCCACCTGAGTCTCTGAGGTCGGATTTGTCTGTCTGGGCTCCTCACTGCTGTCTGCTACGCCCTGCTGGTTATCTTCCCTAGCTGCTGGATCATTCTGATTCAACTTGTCATCAGATTCCAGTTTTACTTCTTTCCCATTTCCTTGCTTTGTGTGGAGCTGGGATGGGTCCTTGGTGCTCTTCACCACCTCCTGGAGATTGTACTTTCTGAACAATATGTAATCTTTCACAACACTCAAGCAACAGACAGCTTTGATGATTTCTACTACCACCGTGTACTGTGGATTCGTGAGATCCACTTTATTTTCTGAATTGAGGCTCCCCACGACTCCTGCAACAAAAATAGGAAAACACTTAGCCTAAAAAGAATACCATTAATATGATGAATTACAAAATAATTTATCCTTTAAGAATTGTTAAAAGACAACATATACAAGTTCATTGTTCCATGTGGACTTACACTGAATCTGCTGAATCCTTTCAACAAACAAAACTGAAATCCTGAGGCATGCAATAAAAGCACTTTATTATAAAAAAATTCAATCTAAATTTGAAAAACACAACTACTAGAAAATCCCCTATTCATCATACTGAAATCAGGTTTGTTATATTTAAGGCCATTTTAGCCTACTTGTTCTGTAGTCAAAAATGCTAAGCCATAAATCTCCAGGAAAAAAAAAACACACACATCTTAAAAACAAGTTTTTTGTACAACTATGTAAATTAATTAAGAAACATACCTGCTAATTCTTTGATAACCTCTTCTCTATTGACATGACTATTATTTCGAGATTTGTATACAATTTGAAATGTCCCTTTGTTTGGAGCTTTAAACCAAGGTTCCAGGAATGTTTCCGCATATTTTTTCATATCTTCCAAGAAAGCTTTGCATGTGCCTGAGATGGGTAACATTCTCAAGATGACTCGGGTCTTCTTCTTCTTAGTTTTATACATATCCTGGAGAATATGATGCACCAATTTCTCAGGTTCTAAAAGAAAAACATCAAAACAGAAAGAATAAATCAGACATTCTCATTGGTAGTAACTAAAAGAAATTCTTATTAACAGTTTAAATGAATCTTTAGTCATTTTTTCCCCATTTATCTTCTCTTCAGTGCTCACTGTGTATATCAACTTCACATCTACAGCTTTCATTAAAAGCAATCCTTTGGCATGAGTGCTGGCACAACAGGTCAAGATGCTAGTTAGCATACCCATATTTGCTATCAGTGTCTGGCATTGATTCCTGCTTCTGTTTTTGATTCAACTTCCTGCTAGGAGGTGATGGCTCATGTGTTTGGGTCCCTGTCACCCACGTGGAACACCCTGAGTTCTAGGCTTTCTCTTGATTCAGGCCCAGCTGCTGCTCATGTTTAGGGTGGGAAGTGAATCAACGCATGGAAGATTTTGTCACTCTGCCTTTCACATAAATAAAACTGACTTTTTCGAATGCTGAGGGCAAATGCAGTGAAAATATCTTTATCAAAAAGTTGTTTTGGGAGACACAAGTTAACATCTTGCAATATCTTTATTCAACTGCAACAACCAGTTACTATTTCCTCTAGCAGCAATTAACAAGCAAAAAATATTGCAGTTTTACAGAAAAAAAATCCTTGAAAGTCTCTTAAAAATTATAATTATTGTGTGACAGGATAGATCAGTTAGGATAGATCTATCAGGATAGATCCTTAATTGTCGGCATCCCATACGAGTTCCTAGTTTGGATTCCAGCTGCTCGGCTTCCCACTTCACTCCCTGCTTGTGGCCTGGGAAGCAGTGGAGGATGGCACAAAGCCTTGGGACCCTCTATCCATGTCCGAGACTTGGAACAAGCTCCTAGCTCCTGTCTTGAGAATGGCTCAGCTCTGGCCACTGTAGCCATCTGGGGAGTGAGCAGATAGAAGATATGTCTCCCCTTCCCTCTGTGAATCTGACTTTCCAATAAAAATAAATTCCTGAAAAACAATTTTTTAAGTAATAGGTTAGCTAAGTTAATGCAGAAGTCTAGATTATTTTATTATTTTCTTTCTTATAAAGTTTTATTCCCTTTAATTGAAAGGCAGATTTTATAGGGAGAGGGAGAAATGAGAGAGAGAGAGAGCTCTTCCATCCTCTGATTCAGTACTAAAATGGTTGCAACAGCTGGAGTTCAGCTGGTGTGAATCAAGGAGACTGGAGCTTCTTCTGGATCTCCCATGTGGACACATGGGACCAAGGAGTTGGGCATCCTTTACTGCTTTCCTAGGCACACTAACAGGGAGCTGGAATGCAAACAGAGCAGCAGTATCCATATGAGGTGCCTGTACTGTAGGAAGAGGCTTAACTTAGTATGGCACGGTGTCAGCCTCAAAGTTCCCATTCTGAAAGGAATCCCAGAACCATGTAGTGCACAAGTTCAACACCCTATTCTATTGCTATATACATCTACTGACAATAAAATGTAGGCTGTGATGAAATGCTAAACTGAGCCATGTTCATGAAACTATTTTTTTTAAAGATTTATTTAGTTTTATTACAAAGTTAGATATATATATATATAGAGAAGGAGAGATAGAGAGGAAGATCTTCCGTCCAATGAGTCACTCCCTAAATGATCGCACCCAGGAACCTCCTCCAGGTCTCCCACACGGGTGCAGGATCCCAAAGTATTGGGCCATCCTGCACTGCTTTCCCAGGCCACAAGCAGGGAGCTGGATGGGAAGTGGAGCTGCTGGGATTAGAACTGGCACCCAAATGGGATCCTGGCATGTTTAAGGCGAGGACTTTAGCCACTAGGCCACTGCACCGGGACCATGAAACTTAGCATTCCCTAAGAAAGGCACACGTCCAGATATCATGAAATTAAGAATCCCTAAGGGTGTTGGTCAGACTCACCTATTCCGAGTGTCCTGATGAACACTACGTTATTTGCTCCACTTTCCACTGACTGGAATCTTCTCAGCCTCATCTCCGTAGATGCCTTAAGGTCACCAACTTCTTTCTTCAGAGCAGCCTCTGCGTCATCGTCATCTCCCTCACTGCCAGAGGGTTGTGGATCCTTGTCTATAAACTGTTTGCACAAAACTAATGAGAAATGACCCAACAGCTCATATTTCAACACTATCATTAGCTACTTATATGAAACTCCCAGAGGCAGAAGGCTCAGCTCTGACTATAAAGCTTTTTACTAATAGACTGCTACACCACTCCCTTCAACAGCAGGTGGGAGCTTCCTCAGACTTTCATGCACATAATTGGAAACTGTTCTCAGGCACATCAGCAGAAGTACTGTGACAGTCTGGGAAAGACAGAAATGAGCTCGCCAACTGAATTATTTCAGGACTGGCCTTAATACCACACCTAGGCATCTGTGCTGGATGTATGACAACCTCTTTCTGGTGAGATCAGACTGACTATAATAATTACACATTTATGGAGCTTTCTTTACACCCTATGACGCACGAGGATACTTCACAAGGCTTGTAGAAAACGGAATAAAGCTGGATTACATAACTCTGCTTCACAAAAATTGTAAAATCCATGCATATACGAAGCGTTCAAAATTGGGGGAAAATGTCTATTTTAAAATCACTGTACACATGAATTTCAAAAAAACTTTTTAAAAAAGATTTATTAATTTTTTCATTGGAAAGTCAGATATACAGAGGAAGAGAGACAGAGAGGAAGCTCTTCCGTATGCTTATTCACTCCCCAATGGCAAGAGCTGAGATGATCCAAAGCCAGGAGCTTCTTCCAGGTCTCGCACACCCGTACAGGGTTCCCAGGCTTTGTGTGGTCTTCGACAGCTTTCCCAGGCCACAGGCAGGGAGCTGGACGGGAAGCGGGGCTGCTGGGATTAGAACCGACGCCCGTACAGGATCCCGGCGCATTCAAGGAGAGGATTTTGGCTACTAGGCCACCATGCCGGGCCCAAAAGGGGCCTACTTTTTAAGATGTATCTTTATGTGTATTTCAAATGTAACTGGAACTGCCACTGAAGCCACTGTGACAGCAGCTGGACACACAGACACACACACTGTAAGAGCCAAGTTTATATGAGACTGGTTAGAAGCAGTATTTCCTAAAGAGCTTCGGCACATCCCCCATCCGCAGGAAGCAAACAGTAAATGGGCAGTCCAACTGAGTGAGAGCGAAAGTGAAGTTCAGAGGCAAAGGCTTTGAGCCCAAGAGCCAGACTGTACCAGGCCACATGCCTACACTGCAGGCCCCTGCACACACCAGAGGCCACAATTACACACCACACACGGCTGGTCGGACACACACGCGATGCCACGCGGACACACGGGAGGCCCCGTGGACACACGGCAGGCCCCGCGGATACACGCGAGGCCACGTGGACCCACGGGAGGCCACGCGGACACACGGCAGGCCCCGCGGACACACGGGAGGCCAGGCTTCCCACTCGCGGCGCGCAGGCGTGGAGAGCAGCTCGGCCTTCCAGCGCTTCCTCCGCCCACCCGCGCCCCGGGGGCCGGTACCTTTTCTGGCCCATACATGTCGTCGCCGTACTCGTTGAGCAGGCTGTAGGCCTCCTCCACGCACTTGCGCTCGTTCATGTTGCACGTGATGAGGATGCCCTGTAACCCGGGCTCTAACTGCCTGGGCCCGCCGCCGTCGCAGCGCCGAGCTCGTTTGGCCTGCACGTACTGGGCCCTATTTTTGCGCTTCCCCCCACCAGCCTGGGCGGGTTGTTGGGCGCAGTCGGCCATAGTGCCACTCAGCTGAGGTGAGACCAACGTCTCCTCACGGCGAACAGCGTCTTCTCCGTCGCTGACCTGTTACGTCAGAAGAGCGCGCCGGCCCACCCGAACCCGCCGCCAAGGCCCTCTGTGCGGCGCGGGGTCCTAAAGCCGGCCGGCGGGCCGCATAAGGTGGACGCAAGGCTCGCCTCTTCCCTGCTCCTCGCGGTGACTGGCAGGCTTGGCTGTGCCGCGCGGACGCAACCGGCAGAGTCTGGACCCGTTGCATATAGATCTTGCTGGAGAGCAACCGTTTCGTATATTCTTTCTTGTTCATGCTTTCCGTTCTGGAGCACCTATGTGTGCCGCTCAGAGCTGGGGCCATTCGCCGAGCAAGACACTACTGATTGCCTTTATTTTTCTATATTTTAAAGATTAATTTATTTTTACTGGAAAAGCAAATCCATAGAAAGAAGAGGAGACAGAGGCAATGATCTTCCATCCGTTGGTTCACTCCCCAGATGGCCAAAACAGCACGAGCTGAGCTGATTCGAAGCTAGGAGCCAGGAGACTTCCCTTGTCCTCCCACACAGATGCAGGATTCCAAGGCTTTGGGCCATCCTCCACTGCTTTCCCACAGAGGAGGGAACTGGATGGGAAGTGGAGCAGCCGGTACAGAAAGCAGCGTCCATCTAGGATGCTGGTGCTTGGAGCTGGAGGACTTGCTTGTTAATCTATTGTACCAGCCCCCAGTGATTGCCTGTCAGACCAGTGGGCCTTAAAATCACCCTACTTGTTTGTTCCTTGGAAATCTGTATTCAGTAGACTTTATTCTAGTGCTCTTGTGCACGACTCCAGATGCACAAGAAAAATAGGACAGATAAAAGAGCCAGGAGCTTTTTCTGGGTATCCGACACGGGTGTAGGGTTCTGAGGCTTTGGATCATCCTCTATTATTTTTGCCAGGCCACAAGCAGAGAGCTGGATGGGAAGTGGAGCAGCCAGGACATCAACCAGCACCCATATGGGATCCCATTAGGTTACCGCGTTAGGCCCTAAGTTTTTTTTCCCTACTAGATTCTTTTGCTTTGGTCAGTACAATTAAGATCAGAGTTCTGGATAATAAAATGTTAACTTATCAACATTCCATGGTGTAGCCTAAGGTAAATGGAAAATGTTCACATCCTCTCAGAGTGCCCTAATTATAGAAGTGATATTTTTTCTCTTGGAAGTGATTTCTTAAGCAACAATTTGAAGAAAGTAGTTTATTTAGTTTGTTTATCTTCCCCTCTGTCTCTCCTCCTCTCTGTGTATCTGACTTTGTAATAAATAAGTAAATAAATAAATTTTAAAAAGATTATTGCCTTTAAGAAGGCAACCAGAAGGGATTTTTTTAAGATTTATTTTTTTACTGCAAAGTCAGATACACAGAGAAGATCTTCTGTATCATGATTCACTCCCCAATAGACCACAACGGCCGGTGCTGTGCTGATCCAAAGCCAGGAGCCAAGAGCTTCTTCTGGGTCTCCCATGAAGGTGCAGGGTCCCAAGACTTTGGGCCATCCTCAACTGCTTTTCCAGGCCACAAGCAGGGAGCTGGATGGGAAGCGAGGCTGCTGAGATTAAAACTGGTGCCCATATGGGATGCCAGAGCATTCAAGGTGACGACTTTAGCCACTAGGCTGCTGTGCCAGGTGCAGGAAATTAAAAAAAAATAATAACATAAAGTACAATAGATAAAAACACATAGCACCAACATGCCTTACCTCCACCGAGCGGTTTTTGTCACATTTTAATGAACGGTATGTAATGTGTTCCATTCGTTGTGTAGCCTTAGCCACATTACTTGCTACACTTGCCCTTTCATCTCACTGACAAACTATGTAAGGGACTCACCCCAAAGTCTCCTTTCCTATTTGAACTTGGGTCTAACTCCAGAGAAGTCACGTTTGGCCTGACTCATGCTGTTATGTGCAGCCTACACAGCTCTCCTAAGTGTCTGATCTCTTGTAGAGACTGAATGAATAAGGGAGGGGAGAAGAGAGAGATATTCTCGTTTACATACCAAATGGTTACAAAAGGCTGAGGCCAGAAGCCAGGAAGTCTCTACAGGTCACTCGTGTGGATGGCCAACATCTGCTGCTTCCAAGGTGAATTACAAGGATGTGTGATAGGAAGAAAAATAGCCAGGGCTAGAACTGGCACTCTGATTACAGTTAAGACCTTAGCATGGGAAGTCTACAAGATATACTGTAAAATGTGGGGAAGAAATCAAAGACATATGTAAAATGAACCAATTCACGGTGGGTTTTTTTGTTTGTTTTGTTTTTAAAGATTTGTTTACTTCAAAAGCAGAGTCACTAAGAGAGAGAAAGAGATTTCCCATCCACTGGTCTACTGCTCAACGGGTTACAATGGCCAGGCAGAAGTCAAGAGCTTCTTCCTGACCTCCCATATGGGTTCAGGGGCCCAAAGCACTTGGACCATCTTCCTCTGCTCTCCAGGCACATTAGCAGGGTGTTGGATTAGAACTGGAGCATCCAGGAAAGGAGCCAACACCTATATGGGACACTGGGATTGCAGGTGGTGGTTTAACCGTCTATACTATAAAATTGCGCCCCCGCAATTCATGTTTTAAAAGGGAACATACATGAGCATATGTAAGGAGTTTTCTAAAAGCTCATGGAAATGTAGATTGTGGAAAAAACTATATACAAATTTCAAAAATATTTCTGCACCAAAATAAACTTTTAATTATATTTGCTACAGCTTTTTAAACGTATTCTAGCATATATATTTGTACACAAATGTGTGTATATGTTTTAATTCCATTATATATCAAAGTGATCATTAGAGGGCCTAGTGTGGTGGCTCAGTGGCTAAAGTCCTCACCTTGAACGCGCTGGGATCCCATGTGGGTGCCGGTTCTGATCCCAGCAGCTCCACTTCCCATAAAGCTCTTTGCTTGTGGCCTGGGAAGGCAGTTGAGGACAGCCCAAAGCCTTGGGTCCCTGCACTCACATGTGGGAGACCTGGAAGAAGCTCCTGGCTCCTTACTTTAGATTGCCTCAGCTCTGGCTGTTGCACTCACTTAGGGAGTGAATCATCGGACGGAAGATCTTCCTCTCTGTCTCTCCTCCTCTCTCTCTATATATCTGACTTTCCAATAAAAATAAACAAATTTAAAAAAATCATTAGATAGTTCTACTTTATGCCTTTTCTCCACATTTTTATTCTAAAGTCCAACGCCAAGGATAAGGAGGTATTAAACCTCGGTTCTTTCCTTTACAAACAGAATGGTAAACAAAGATTAAGTGGCACAAATCTCTGCAACTTTGCAAAAAGGTGACTCAACTGGTCCTGCCACTTCTGTCCAAATGCCCCAGCCTTTCCTCAGACGATGTAAGAAGTCTGGGGAGGAGCTAAAGGAGAATAAGGGTTTTTTGTTATTCTTTTGTTTTTTAAATATCCTTTGCTAAAAGGGACATCAAGGTGATCACCCATAAAGATTAGAAATGGCTTAAAGAAGAAATTGGCATCACATTCCCCTCGGAGGAACTGAGCCAGAAAGGGAAGAAGGGACAGATGGCAGGGCAGATAAAGTCAGATAGGTGTAGGGGAGGCCAGCAGAAGACCCACCTACAGTCCAAGACAGGTAATTCCACAGATGTGTGAGTTTCTGGTGGTTTCCAAGTGGAGAATAATGAGAGAGAAAGGTGAGTTAGAGACAGATAAGGACGTGCGCCTCTGTCCCACAGGCTGGAGCAGGAGGAGCCGATGAGTCCAGACAACCTCTCAGCCCATGCAGCTCCCAACACACAAGCCTATGCTGAGGAGAAGGCAAAGGAACAATGTACACTGAGTAGATGAACTTTAAGTGAAAATAACTTGGAAGTTGCGGAATCATCGAAAGTGTCACTAAGGGACAGGAGTGTGTATAGGATTCGGCAATACAGGAAAAGAAAAATGGGGAAAAACAGTTTTGAGCTCAAACTTGTAAAAATGTTATAAATATCCATCCCAACCATCTCCTCACACCCCGGGCTTGTTTTGCAACACGTGGAGATCATGCCTTATTACATTTTAGTAAATAATTCTGTAGCTTTCATTTTAAGCATATGTATATATTAGCCTTGTGAGTTAAAGTGTGACTGGCATTCACAAAGTACTGGACCCACAGCCAGGCTTACTTCTTAGCCTCCTGGAAGTAAGGGTGACCACTGAAACAAAGGCAGAAGTAATGTAAGCTGCCTCTAAGCCCAAACCTACAGCTTACTTACTGTCTCTTTCCCATACCCTAGATCTGTCACTTCTAGTCAGCCAGCTCATTTCAGAGCATCTGCCTAGGGACAGGGGAGCGCCTGGGTTCATCCAGAATCCCTGCTCAGAGGAGTCACCCAGGAAAGGCCATCAAGCAGAAGCATATGTCCCTGTTAGATCGCTACAGTGGAATTCCAGGTTCTGCTCCCAGCCCAGCTAGTGCGACCTGACACAGGAGATGACAGCAGCCTGCACTCCTGTGGGAGACCTCACCAATTGGTTACAAAATCAGAGGGTTCCATGACCCCTGTGTTTGTTAATTCACTAGCACAGTTTCACAGACCTCAGAAAAGCAATATGTCATATTTACTACAGCTTCACCATAAGAGGTAAAACTCAGGACCTATTAACTGAAAAAACACATAGAGAAAGTTCTGGGAGGCAGAGCTTCAGTGCCTTTTCCCACATGGAATCAGGGCTTATCAGGTTATGTGTTCACCACCCAGGCAGTGCCACTGTATTTTTGCTGAAGCTTCATCACACATGATAAATTGGATCTTTGATCACAATTTTCAGGCTCCCTTCCTGCCCACCATGATGGGAAGGGCTTCAATTTCCAACCCTTCAACCATGTAGTTGGTCTTGCCATTTGGAGGTTTCCTGTTGGCATTCATTCAGGTACGATCGAAGAGATCCAGGAACACAAAAAGATGCCTCTCTCACTCAGGAGATTCCAAGGATTTAGAGTGTCCAGGGCTTTGAGCTCCTTTCTGGGACTAGCAAAAAACAGTCATGCA